ACTGAGCAACATAGTGAGACCTTCCAGTTCAGAAACAATTAAAAAGTAAAAAGCAAATAATGACAGCCATAAGTGTCTTTCCCATTTTAAATTCAAACAAGCAAACTACTCCAGTCCTAACAGCATGCCACTGAACTGGGGGAAGTAACATCCCAGAGTCTAGAGATTGGCCAAACCAGTCCCAATGGTGAATGCAAGTGTGTGTGTGCGCTGCACGTGTGTGAGTCTGTGAGAGTTTGTGCCTGTGCACGTTCACGTAGAGGCCAGAGCCAGGCTCTTTTACTCTATCACTTCTGCCTTATTGCTTGAGCCAGTCCCTGACTGACTTGGAAGCCATCCTTTTTGGCTAAGCTAGCTGATGATCCAGTCTCTGGATCTGTCTCCACTCCCCAAAGCTGGAGTTACAGAGATGAGCACTGATGCACATTTGTACGTGGGTGGATTCAGCCTCAGGACCGTAAAGCGAGTCCTCTTACCTGCCAATCTCTCCAACCCCAGAATTCCATGTTTTATAGATGAGTGTTATAAAATACATTTTAATTAGAGAACAGAACGCTTGTTATCAGCTCACTTGGCAAATATACCAGAAAACTGGAGGGGGGGCGGCGGCTCGGAGATAGCTCCATTGGTAGAGTACTCGCCATGCAAGCCTGAGGACCGGAGTTTGATGACCAGAATCCATGTTAAAAGCAGGGAATGGTGGCATGCATTTGTCCCTACGGACAGGTGGATTCCACGAGGCTCACTGGCCAGCTGACCCACCTGATGGCAAGTTCACAGTGAGAGACCTTGTCTCAAAAACAAGATGACATCTCTGGGGGAATAACACCTGAGGTTGACATCTAGCCTCGTGCGCACGTACACATGCTTGGAACGACATGTATACACATACATACATGTACCCACACACATACAAACATACATACAATACATATGCATATGTGGAGAATTACCCTGACTCATACTGACTAGTTCATGCTATGTAAGCAGAGCTCTTTTGTTAAAATCACAGAGCAAACTCACAGTGCAAATAACGACATCTCGAAAAGGAAACCCTTGCAAAGGGACAAAATCCAGGCCCTTATTCCACCCAGAATCACCCTTCCTATTATGTTTCAAGCCATTAAATCATTTTTCTACTTTTTAAATTATCTGCAAAGCCCCTCACTTTGTGGCCTAAAGAAAGAACTACCTAGCCAGGCAGTGGTGGCTCGTGCCTTTAATACTAGCACTGAGAGTTCAAGGCTAGCCTGGTTTACAGAGTGAGTTCCAGGACAGCAGGGCTGTTTCACAGAGAAATATCCTGTTTCTAAAAACCGAGAGAGAGAGAGAGAGAGAGAGAGAGAGAGAGAGAAGGGGAGGGGAGGGGAGGGGAGGGGAGGGGGAGGGGGAGGGGGAGGGAGAGAGAGAGAGAACATTCAAGAGAGGAAGAATTACCTACCTGCTGTAAGATGTCACTGTATTACACAGGAATCTCGCATGGAATCTCATCAACATTTCCTCTTTCACTCATATGCCTACCTCCAACTTTACAAAAGATCAGTCCCTCGCTGTGCAACAACCGCCTTCATATTGTGGCCTCTTAAACTCTCCCATAAACCCCACAAGAAAGCAGCATGGGGTTTATTTTGTTTGGTTCTGAGACAGGGTCTAGCTGTGTATTCCAGCCTGCCCTCAAACTGGGGATTCAAATGCCCCAGTCTTTACAGGGATGGTACATCATGCCCTGCTAGGCTTTTATTGTTGGCTTTGTTTGTTTGATTGATGCCAAAGGAGATCCTATCCAGAGCCTCCCCCATACCAGGCACTCACCCTACCAACTGAGCTGTATACAGTTTGGTTTTAACTAGAATTGTGGCTCCACAGAGGTAAACTTGGGCACATCTACAAGGCCCTTGGGAAACGGATGAACTGGAGAAACCGAACAATGGCAAGGCTTGCTACACACTGCCCTAATTCTCTCCGAAGCCCTCAGCCGTGGCCTCACACAGGTAGCCCCTTGGGCTGGCCTTTTCGACATACGATTCTACATGTTCTCGGCAAGAGCAATGAGGTGAAAGCCGGTGTTAAGTCAAAGTCTACTGCTGTCAACTAAACGATGGGGCCGCTCTGCAGTTCTTAGGTTTATCACTTTTCTCCAGGAAATGGCTGGGCACAGTCAGTCAAGACCCAGCTTCCACTATCAGGAAAGGAACAGGTACAGAAAGGCAGAGACAGCTTCACTTGAAAGAATGTGGGAGCCGCTTCTGTCAGGAATAACACGTTACATAACTCGACTTTCATGAATCAGCAGTTTGGTCCGTAATTTACATGAAGTTTTAAAAGAGAGAACACGTGAAGCCTGAAAAAAGTAATGGTGGCTTCTACAACAAGGCAGGTTTGAGAAGCACTGCACTCCACCCCCTCACAGAGGGTTGACAGGCAACTGACTCATCTAGGCTCCATTAAGGTTTTCTCTCTACCTAACGTCCCAGTGGGATCACCTCATCCGATAGCCCTTCTTAGGTCCTCTACCAGGTAACGGCCATATTTTCCATCTGGACCACATACTTGATGATGCAGAGGGCCACGCTTAAGGGATATAAATAAATGAAGATTTTGGGGTTTTTTTTGTTTGTTTGTTTTGCTTTTTTAGAAGACACTAAAGTAATTAGATTTTTAAAAAACACTCTACATGTCATCCATTTTGGGAAGAAAAAGAAAGAGAGATGCCTTTGATCACTGTATTTGAACTCAATCAAACATCCAAGCAGCTTAGAGACAGGAGTAAGGAAGACGTCAGCACAAGTACTAACCCCATCTGGCCAACCTAAACTCCATCAAAGCCGGAAAAAAAAAAAAGGTAAGGTAACTGACAGAAGAAAAAAAATAAATCACTATGCTAATTTCTTTTTCAAAAACCAGAAATGGTAAATCCTGAGTCTGAGAGGCATCTTTGTCCCTTCTACAGAAAAGTCATTGGGTCAGACACTGTTTGAAGTAAGAGAGGCACTGGGTGAGGCCGGGAAATTTCTTCAGCACAAATCAATTACAGCGGTATTTTGGGAGGTACGTTTTGCGAGAGCAAGCCATCTGAAGTCACTCATTCCACAGGTATTTATTACAGGCCTGCACGTGCCAGGACCGCCAGGTTCCGTCCGTCTCTACACCTCCACCATCTGAGCAAACAGTGCTGAAAGCAAATCAACAATTTCCTGCCTCCAGTCTAAAACAGGGCTCCTGACCTCACAAGGTCTCTCTGAAGACCTGTGGGGATGTCTAAGGCACCCTAAAGCAAACAGCTGTTAGGTGTTTGGTGACTCTAATTCACAAGCACCGACAAAGCCAGGGGCACCTACCATACCAGAGGGGGAGGTCTCCATGTTTCAACACTTCACAGGCCTGTTGTTATATCAGCCTTATCAGTTCACTTAGTTACGTCCCAGGAAGTGAAAAATTACAAGGAAAAGAACCAAGAAACAGGGAGTGCAATACAAAGATTTTATGTCTCTAACACCACAGTGACAAAAAAAAAAAAAAAATCCTATGTCAGCCTTGCTCATTCGCCAACCTAGGCCCTTGCTATCTCGGTACCAGGCCCAAAATACTCATTTCAAATGATTACTAATTCTGGCGGTGGGGTGTGTGTGTGTGTGTGTGTGTGTGTGTGTGTGTGAGAGAGAGAGAGAGAGAGAGAGAGAGAGAGAGAGAGAATCCTCTTTATTAACATTAAAGGCCACATCCACCAACTCATCTCTACTCGCAATGCACTACCGAAGATTACCAAACACTGTTTATGCTAATGTGTACAAACAAAAACATTCACAGTTCATTTCAGGTTTAATCTGATGCGCCCATCTGAGCCAAGGTCATATGAATTGTCAAACAGATCTGAAACAAAGCTCCTTTTTAAAAACAAAACCAAGCTCAGCACAGTGGCGGTTTCAAGAAAGGGAACTTCTGACGCCAGAGTTGTGAGCATTGGTCAGAGGACAGCGAATGACCACGACCACCTTTCTGAAGCTCCGCAGGATCTGGCCTGAGACCTGCTAGCAACAGGTCTCATTGCTCCAAGCTAGCATCCCACAGGGATGAGGGGTAAAACCCGTCTTAGAGGAGTGGCGGCCTAGGGGCCAGAGGGCACACCCATATTCCGAAAATATGTCTGAAACTTCTCTAACGTTTCCAGTTCTTTCTATGACATTCGGGGAACTAATGCATGCACGGCCTCTTCATGGCTACAACCTCTATAATTGAATATTTTGAGTTAAGAATTTGAGGTAACATTTATCAAGCACTTAGGAAACAGCCCAGTTCATAGTAAGAGCTGTGTTTGGTAAATAAAGCAGGCACTCTCCAGGCCCGTTGGGTAAACACTCAACTTAGTGAGGAGGGAAGAATCAAAATACCTAACAGGCGGTTCGGGGTTTTGTTTAGTTTTCCACCCTGACAAAAGATGCTGAGACTTGAGTGTTCAGCATTTATTCTTGAATCCCAAGTGCACCCGGCATAGTCTCTTCCTGCAAATGTTCGGCATTCGGTGCAAAGAACCATCACCAACGACGACGACGAGAACAGAAAACCTCAGGGCGCTTTTAGATGGCACGTGCCAGCGCTTAAACCGTGAGAACCAGAAGCAGACCGGTAGAAAACAGAGTCACCCCCCCCCCTTACCCCCAACGAAGGGTTCCAATCTGAGAACTTGCAAGAGTGGCGATGCGTTCTAGTCCTGTCGATCGATCAGGACGGCCACTTAACCCCGACGACGACCTCCGGGCCCCAGCCACCCCACGCGGGTCCGCGCAGGTAACCCACGTCCCCATTCAGGTGGGCTCTCCAGTCTTCCCCGCCCGCTACCCAGCTCGGGGGCCGCGCGGGTTGCCCGCGTCCACCCACGCGCTCAAGCTCCACGCCGCGGCCGCTCAACTCGCTCCAGGGGACACAAAGACCGCGCGCCCGGCCGCGGCGGACTCCCGGCCCCGACCCCGCCGCGCGGCCCCGCGCACCCGCCCCGCACCTACCGGGCGGCAGCGCGGCGTCCGGGCGTCCGGGCGCGGAGCCCAGCGCGCTGGCGGTTCCTCCTTCCCGGCGGCGCGGGCCGGGCGCCGGCGTTTCCTCCCTGCCGCGTCACGGCGGCTCCTCCCGCGGAGCGCGGGGCGGCGGGGCGGGCGGCGCGAGGGGACGACCGGGACCCGCGCGGGTGGCGCAGCGGCTCGCCTGGCCGCGCTCGTCACGCGGGGTGCAAAGTTCAGGAGGAGACACCGAGCTCCGGCGCTCAGCGGACGGGTGCGCGAGGGCTGCGACGAAACTGACCTCGGCCCACCCCGGGAGGGCGAGCGGATGAGCTACCAGCCGGACGCTTTCAGAAGCCAAAGAGGCATCCCAACGACATGGAGAGCCATTGTGCTTCCTTTAGCGTTATTTGGGCAGTTTTCTTCACTTTTCCCACGTCAGCAGATTTTTGACCTGTGTTTATAGATGGGCGAGAACGCTCACAAATTGGCCGAGAGCTTAACTTTCTCTGCACCGTTTTAGAGCTATGGATTATTTTTAAATTGGCCAATACATTCGGCTGCTGGTGCTTATCCATTTAACGACAGAAGCTGCATTTTAAAACCTAGTCTGTGAATGGGGAACTAAGAATTACACGATTCAGTGGCTGTGGAGTTAAGATTTTGAACTAGAGTGCCCTCCCACACCACCGTTGTAATTTAGGGATGCCACATGAAAGCAGACCCCAACAATGGTGCTTCCAATTTTACAGCATTGATCTATACTTTGAATCATATGATTTCTATAAATTTGCCGCAAATCTGTGAACAAGTAAGTAGAGGAACAGAGATCAATGAGTGACTTCCCTAAATTCAAAGGGAAATTTCTTATATTTCAAAATAACTCTCAAAGATTTAGTCCCATGAGTAAAGGTAAGAATAATTGTTCGTTCTGTCCACGGTACAATATGGCCTTTTCCTTCTTAAGATGGGTTGTAAATCCAAATTCCTTTATATTCTGAAACGTAATAGTCCCACAGAACGTTCTGAATAGTGATTCTCAGTGGCATTCGGAAACGGACAAGCAAATACAGTACACTGAGCACAGCAGATCGCCCGTGGTCATTTATGTGTTCCACTGTGGTCTCCTCACAAAGCAGTCCACACAACTAAGCCCAGACCTTCCCTCTGGCAAGACCAACAAGAGATCAGTGTATCAGTTAATTAAAGCCATATTCATGACACTGAGAACTTTTCTTGGACAAAAGGAAGTTTTGTGTCAATAAACCCCATGGGGAATGACATTGTTCTCACCCAGAAGATAAACACCTATCACCATATTTTGATGTTACAAAAAAAACATATGGAAACCACTATAATAGTTCCAGAATAGATTTGTCTCCCCGCTACACAGAACTAATACACACATGCACACTCCCTGAGGTGGGGGGGGGAGCAAGAGCACTCCCACCAACATTTTGTTTTGTTTTTTTTGTTTTGTTTTGTTTTTCGAGACAGGGTTTCTTTGTAGCTTTGGAGCCTGTCCAGGAACTAGCTCTTGTAGACCAGGCTGGCCTCGAACTCACAGAGATCTGCCTGCCTTGGGCTCCCAACTGCTGGGATTAAAGGTGTGTACCAACACCACCCGGCCTCCACCAACATTTTTAAGACAAGAAAGAGGAAGAATTACATTTGATTGACAGGAAGTTAGGTATGGGTCTTTGTAATCTGAAAGCTGCAATCTAAAAGCTTGTTTGTTGTAAAAACTAGAAGAGATAAGTATATTCACAAACTATCAAGATTTTTCACTTGAAGTTAACCTTTGTGTCCGGGGTGTGTGTGTGTGTGCGCGCGGGCGCGCGTATGGGTACAGGCTGGAGGTCAGCAGAAGCTGTCTTCCCCAGTTTTTCTCTCTCTTGGAGCTCCTCACTGGCAGGGGTGGCTAGCTGTCGGTGAGCTCCAGGAATCCTCCTGTCTCTGCTTCCCCAGCACTGGGATTGGGCATGTTCCACCATAGCTGGCCTACACAGATCCAGACTCAGGTCCTCATGTTTGTGCAGTAACACTGTACTGACTGAGCCATGTTCCTCGCCCTTGAAATGAACTCTTTAGCTCCAGGACTTGGTGTGCACACTAGGCAGCTGGGGCACCACTGGGGCACCACTGAGATCATCTCCACCCCTTAACATAATTGTTAAGGGCAAGCTTTGAGGACTAGCCCTTTAATTAATCATATTCCCTTCTGGTGATATCGATCTCATTCCCATTGTCCATTATGTTTCCGATTTAAGTTTAAACTATAAAAAGCTGTTGAATATTTAGTTAAATATCTAGATGATAGTTCTGTATTTTTAAAAGGTTTTATGTAAATCAAATTTTAAAATAGGCGAAGTTTTTTTTGTCAAACTGTAGATATTAATATTTTCTTTAGAAACATGGCTCTGTTGATGCACATAAAGCAAATATTTTGCTTATCTAGTCTATCTGTAGAGCAGAGATTATAAAAACAAACTTTGGAATCCGGCCCCGGCTTAATGCCTATCTGTTTCACTTTGAACTCTGGGCAAATCGTTTCAAACCTTTTGTTTCATTAGGGAGAGGAAGGTGACTGCTTTTCCATCCTGTGAACAGATATGGTATCGTGACACTGTCGTGAAGACTAGTAACATGTCAGAGCCTAGTATCAGTGCTGGGTACAGCTGAACAGAGCTGTTCAAAGTCTGCGTGGCGGAAACCTAATGGAGGTGATGAGGTCATAGGGATGAACCCTTGTGAAAGGGTGAATGATTCATCCTGTCATTATTGAGAGGGTGGATTTGTTCTGAACGTGAGTTTGAGCCTCTTACTTGCATCTTTTCCAACTCTGCTATGGAATAGAAACAAGGCAAGGTCTTCACCGTATGCTGACACCATGCTTTGGGGTGTACCAGCTGCAGAGCCAGGAGCCCAAGTCTGTTCAGTACAGACACCCTCTCTGGGGTTTGCGGTCTTCTGTTTTGTTTGATAGAAGGTCTCACTATGTACCCTTAGTTGGACTGAAACTCACTGTGTAGACCATGCTGGCCTCGAACCCACAGATATCCGCCTACCTATACCTCACGTCACTAGGATTAAAGATGGGCGCCACCATGCTTGGCTGGTGTCTTTTATACTCGCAGAAAATAGAAACCATAAGATAGCTTGAGAATTTTGGAAAGCTTAAACTGATAACAATTTGATTTGTTGATAACCATTCAAATTGTTGACCTGTATATATTAAAAAAAAAACCACTAACTACTTACTTGGATAATGAGTTTTTTAAATAATATATTTCATTGAAATATCATTTATTATTCATTATTATCATTTATTATCATTTATTATTCATTATTGCTGTTCAAAACAGAAAACCCTTTTGTCTAAAATGGTGTCTTATCTGAGAGTAGTATTAATCTTTATATCCTAATAAAGCCCTGTATTATTCATAGTCCCTTTTTTTTTATAACCTTAGAAGCAGATAAGGACTTCCAACAGAAGAAAAATAACTTCCTTCAGGGAGGAGAATTGATTAAATGACGTACAGAACCCGAATGACTGCTCCTCACGAGTTAACTAGTTAACTGGTTTTGGAAGTGGGGGCCGACCTTGGTTCTTTTTTTTTTCTTGATTTTCGAGACAGGGCTTCACTGTAGTTTTTGGTGCCTGTCTTGGAACTAGCTCTTGTAGACCAGGTTGGCCTCGAACTCATGGAGATCCGCCTGCCTCTGCCTCCGGAGTGCTGGGATTAAAGGCATGCGCCACCACTGCCCAGCTCCAACATTGGTTCTGTAGCTGATGAATGTCTGCTCAAGGGTAACCATAACCAACACTACAAGAGCGATGGTGCCGTCAATGCTGTTGTCTACATTCCTCTCAGAGTCCCTTTTCTGGAGTCCTCTGAGGGGCTCATCGGCTTTCGTGGGTCAGTTGTCATGAGTTGTGGTTGTAGTTTCCAGTATACTCTCCAGCTGATAGACTGCACAGCAGCCTGCAGCCTCAAATGAAAGAAAACCAGCTTGTGGGGGAAATGTGCCGTTTAAGACACAATCGTAACCATGAACTGCTTTTGAATATAGAGAAAAGAAAAGCCTCATGTAAAATGGAGTAAATATGGAACAGGAAAAACAAGAACTTCATTTGCTTTCTGAGAAAACCCTGTTTTAACAGAACATAAAGCAAGCCAAGTTAGGGCTAGAAAAGACCACAGACACATGGGAAAGGGAACGAAAGGGAACCGAAACCTGTTAGGGCCTCCTGGGCACAGAGCAGAGTTAATTTGGTCCTTTGATCTGGAAAACAGTTCTTTGAGTGCTAATTTGAAGAATGCAGATGGGCGGCCCACAGCTCATCCTCATTTCTTGAACCAAATTAGCCAGTTTCAAACTCAAAATCTGATGTGAAGTGTCTGAAGTTTAAGCATGTCTTGTAATTAAGGAGACTCTGCCTTTTAAGGCATTTCTGTTCACAGGACCCTCTTTCTGTATATTTAGGGTCATGAAAAACAACAACAGAGGGAAAATGCTGAAAGCTCAGAACCTTAAACCGCTCATTTCAGGTTTTTGATAGACAGAAGCAAGAAGTTACTTTACATCACACTAACAATTATCTAAAGTAAAATTATTATATTTTCCCACTCGGGAAAGCTTGTCTTCTAATGTGTTCTGAGTATCAAGAAGAAAAGTGATCCCTTTTTCCTTTATTCTCTGTTCCGTTTGACTACGCTATTATGGACAAGATATCTGTTAATAGTTGGCAGTAACTTACTTACATCCTGTCAGCAACTTTTGTGTTCAAAGAATTATTAGTCCTTTGAGCTCCAACCAGCCAGGTAGACTTTGAAGATAACTACTGTTTTAGTAGTTGCTTATCGGTGTGAAATAATAGCTTTTCTTAAATACTGTTCATTTAGTGACTCAGTGACTTATGTTGAGCTATCTCTAATTAATGAGTGAACCTATTTCAAAACTAAGGGCTTAATAGTCACTGCCTTGAAGAGGAAGCACGTTGTTGCTTCATCAGCCAATTCTCTGTCTGTCCACCAGTGCATCAAGGACATAAGAGATCTGAAGAAATTATAATTCTTTGTACATTGGAAGACTCA